ATTCATTCATTTATTTATTCATTCATTCATTCATTCATTCACCTACCCCAGTTCCCAATAGAGCAATCGTTCCCTTGGATACTTGTTAGTCACATATTGGAGAAAAGAGACCCTTATTTGATTCAGTCAGTCCTGATGATGATGCTGGCGATGATGATGTGATGATGTTTATTATGCTGCTGCTGATGATGATAATGATGGTAATGATGATGACATATCTATATAATGATAAATCACTATCAAGATAATTTTCATTTTTGGGTCATTATCGTCTGTGTATCATTTATTATTTTGTCAATTTCATTATTTTTCTTGTATCATGTTATCAATATTATTGTTGTCTGTATATCTGTTTAACCATCATCACCACCATCATCATTATCACCATCATCTTCACCATCATCACTATCATCATCACCATCATCATCATCATCATCATCAATGCCACTACTTTCATCATCGTCGTCGTCATAATCTTCATAAAATACGTGATTACCTCTAAATAGTTTTGTATTGTACATGTTCGACCTGTACAATGATTCTGCAAATACGGCTTTGTACACCTTCAAGAAGCAACATTTGTTTGAAGAAGTTGAGGCTGAGGTAGCTTAGTGTATTTTTTTGTATTGTATGTTTGTATGTTTTGTTTTGAATTGTATGTTTTGTAGGTTTTATATTGTATGTTTTGTGTTGTATGTTTTATATTGTATGTTGTATAGTTGGTTGTATGGTTGGTTGTACGGTTAGCTGTATTTTATTATGGATTGTATGTTATTTGTTGGTATTTTATATAGGTATCGTGTATGGCATTGTAATTATTATTAATTATTTGATAATATAATTATTAATTATAATAATAATTAATTATTAATTATTATAATTAATAATAATAATTATTAATTATTTGATAATATATTGTGTGTATATTGTATTTTGTATGTTGCGTATTTTGTGTGTCTCGTCTAGCAACATACAAACACGTCCTTANGCCATCTTATGTTTTGAGCAGTTGGTCTTCAATTGAGTGAGCATATATATGAGAGACACAAAGTTCTGGCCGCTAAGTATGTCGATGTTGTTTTTGTTGTTGTTGCTGTTGTTGATGTTGGTGTTGCTGTTGGTGTTGGTGTTGTTGTTGTTGATGTTGTTTTTGGTGTTGTTGATATTGTTGATGTTGATGTTGTTGTTGATGTTTTGTTATTTATTTTGGTGTTTTTGTTGTGTTATATGGCAATGTTGTTTCAGATGGTTGTTGTTGTTGTTGAGATTATTTATGTAGAGTTTAACATTGCTATCGCGAAAATTTTTCATTTCATTTTTATTATTTTGAAAAAATTTTAATTGTTTTTTTTTTTCAAAAGCATTTTGTTGAACAAGAGATTCGGCAGAGCTTGCAAGAAGATAAATACCTATCTTCTAAACGTCAACTATTTGTCACTAATCAACCAGAAAAATTTGCAAGTCTGTTGATGTGTTGTTGTTGATGTGTTGTTGTTGCTGTGTTGTTGTTGATGTGTAGTTGTTGCTGTGTTGTTGACGTGTTGTTGACGTGTTGTTGTTGATGTAGTTGTTGGTGTGTTGTTGATGTGTTGTTGTTGTTGATGTGTTGTTTATGTTGTTGTTAATGTAATGTCGACT